ATTAATTGGAATTGTACATTAAACAAAAATCCTCGAAATTAGGTTACAGCATCTCATAGTGGTCTATAAGTCTCAACAAACTTATGCTAGTCTTCATGGACAATCAAAATTTCCTATTGGTTTTCCTAAACATTTTTTTTTAATTAAATTTTTTATAAAACAAAATATAAGTTACTTTTTATTAAAAAATGATTTTATACAACCTTTTTAATAAATATGTTACATAAGATATTATTTATTATACATAATATGTATTACATATATGTATAATTTTGTATAACTAAAATAATTGTTTCTGACAGTCACTGAATAAAAGCTACCCAAATAATATATATATATATATATATACATTTATATACATTACTATCAAAATAAAAATTTGTTGAAGCCTATGGGAACTTCACCAATTATTGTCTTGTTAAAATGGATACTATAAACCAATATACATTTCAAAATTAATTTTATTGTATTAAAATTTGAAATTTATTATGAATTATTCACTATAATAATACCTTGAACATTATGTATACAAAACATTTTAACTTTTTAGTATACCTGCATAAATATTATTATATACAATAAACTATTCGTATATATTAAATAAAATTCCATACATTACTACAATTTTTAACTTTGGAATATTTTTACCTGTAAACTTAGTAGAAAATGTCACATTGTGTCATGATAAGTCGTAACATCGATCCTTATAATGGATTTGAACATAACTTTTCAATACGGTTAAAATTGAATATTTTACAATGCTATAAATGTTTTATATCGTTATATGGTTATATTCATATGAACAGTGTTAAATCTAATCCCAATTTTATGTTTTTTCTCATAATCATATTTTTGTTTATCACATTTATATTGTTACTTATTACTCTCATACTATATCATTACAATGTTATGTTAAATTATTGTTGTATAAAAAAAAAAATAGAAATTTACTGTTAATCAAATTATAATCTGTAATAAAATAATATAAATAACATATTTATATTTTTTTGTTCTATAAAATAATTTATACCTATTCTCTAAATAAACTTTTTATTTATATTAGTTATTATTCATTTTAGTTTTAAGTGTATTCTAAGCATACTTATGTCATTAAAATAATTTTTATAGTATATTTTAATAAATAATAATACATAAATACGATAAATTTCCGTTTAAAACTATAATAATTTTAGTACATGTCTAATATACCATGACGCTAAAAATGAACCTACATTCTACACCAAATAAACTTCGTATAACACAGATATCAGACACAATAAGAAAATAAATTATAAGACATAAGTTATCATTAAAAAATTATTTACAAAAAAATATAAGATTATAGGAAGCACCATTTAGTTACATTATATTCCTTATCTTACGCATTTCTTTGCTTCCTATAGAATACACAAAGGTAAAATAATATTATTTTAAAAAACATAGTTACTTATCACTCGTCTAGTATACTTAATAAATACTTAAATTAAAACTGAATTTTTGGTCAATCATTGTTGAAACTTGTACTATTGAAATGTATGCGGCATGAAGTAGAAGTTAAATGTGGAATATAATCTCAATTTTAATAAATTGAGATGTGCAGCTAATAGTGCTATATACAAACATTCTAGAATGACAATTAATATAAGATTATTGGATGGTTATAATAAAAATAAAAATAGCCAATAATAGATTATTGAATCCAATTATCAAAGTCCAATGTCCATTGCCATTTGCCAGTAAATTCTATAAATAAATTTCAATCTTTTTACGTAAACCAAAGATAATTACTACTGAACTGTACCAATAAACTTTTATAAAATATAATTTTTCCTGCAGAAATATTATTAATACATATTATTTGCAGTGTAATGTATACGAAATGTATTTTAATGAATTATATAATATATTAGACTGATCGTATTTTAATGTACGTATTATTTCCTTGTATATATCGGTATTAGACAAGAACCATTATTTTTATATTCGTAAATACTAAAGAAATGGTGTTCACCTTTGAACTTTGATACAACCATACCTACCTAAGAAATAATTATCTATTTTTCAAAACTATGTTAAGTTATTTAAATAATAATTTATATATAAATATACATATTATATTATTTAAAGGTACACTCATAAGTCATAATCTTAACATTAATTACACTGTAAATACATTTTTCAACTTTGTCCAATTTTATCATTATTAATGTAATAAAACTCTGATAACTAATAAATAAATAAACAAAAAATAACTGATACCACCAGATTAAAGATCAAACATATCGTTTATCATTGTTTCTAATTCTTTTTGATAGTGTGTACTGGTATTTGACTCCAGCAATGTTCTTATGGCCTTACGTACTAAATAATTCCTATCACGTATTTTAATAAAATAAAAAAGCAATCTTACACCACTTATTATTATGGAATTATAGTATGGTAAATTATTTATTAACAAATAACAACAATTAATGTAAGATCAGACCTAAAATTTGTACTTGAAAACAGTTTAAAATAATTAAAATTAAGTAAAAAAAAAAAAAAAATTAAAGAATTAAAAATACCCCTTTGTTCTTTTTTAGGTGTGTTCAAAAACGTTCTATTATGCTAATTCATTATTAATTCGCATAGTTCATAATTATAACCTAACCGTAGTCTGTGGTAAAAACTTGAGTCATTAATAATTACTGCGCTCATAGAAACTAAATATTACACAAACCATATTTGAGAACAGCTTAAGTTTTTTATTGCATTTATTTGTATAATACATTAAATAGTATGTGCTTATGTGAGGTAATGATTAAAATTAAATAATTGAAAAATATTCACTCTAATATTTGGTATAAATTTTTTGTAACTTAACTTTTCACATCATTTCATTGTGATCTAATTACATGTACTGACTATCCTATTTTATCGTCCTAACTCGTTTTAGTCAAATAAAATGGTATTTAAATTGGATTATTATTTAGATAAAAAATATTATATTTATTAGGTCATACGAAGCAAGTTAAAGTTAGTTAAAATTCTTTGAAATAATAGTTTTTCAATTATACTTAAGCCCCAAAATAAACAATTCTATGTTTAATTAGATTTTAATATAATTTATTATATTCTTGTACGACTGTACGTTAATTATTTTATTTATATATATTTTATGAGGCCTCTACTAATATCTATTCTGGTTGGTTTTTTTTCTGAGAACGATTAACCACTTGATCAACTGGTCGTCTTTTAATATATAACATGATATACCCACGATATTATACAAACGTAAGTTAACATATGAATGTCTGTCGGAAACAGGTCATCTGTCGAGGGTCGAGTTAATTGGCAAGTCATAACTTTAATAGAAGAGACCAACGCCAGCAAAGCTACTTGTTTTGTTGACTATAACTTATATTTTACCATACAAATATTGGACTGCTCTACCTTAACACATCTCTAATCAGTAGTAACATCATTGAGCATAAACTGAAAAAGTAAAAATGGAATACATCTACGTTCTACATAATATTTTAACTATTTATTAACATGATAGAAAAACTTAGATAAATTATTTTAGAATTGTTAACACTTTGAGGAAATAGTTAAAATTGAATATTAAATAATTATGCGAATTGTTATGATATAATATTATATAGCATTACACACATGACCATTTAATTAATTATATCATAGATTCACTAAAATATTTTATACCATCATAATATACTCCAATTGAAAATTATTATTTTGTTTATCATAAGTATATTTTTCATTAACTAGTTTTATTCACTTAGGCGTACCTTATTTAGTTTTAAGAACTTCATTGTTATTTTGATCAATTTCTATAATTATAAATGTATTAACTAAGTAATAGTAATAAAGGAATTTTTAGGTAACTTACTTAATATTAGAAATAATATATTAAAAATCAAAATTCACATATATACCTATCCTTTATTTATTTTAACAAAATAATTGTAATTTTCGACTTTTGATTATGGTAAAACAATTAAATTACCACAACAATATCATAATATAATATATTATACATTATACATGTTCTGTTTATTAAATAAACATTATGATTTTTATATCTATACACATTTATATATATTTATACTTATAACTTATTTATCTATACAATTTATATTTTTAATTACATAATTTCATAAACAATGTTGCTAATATTGGTTCATTGAGCAGCTCTTCGATATTAATAATATAATACAATATTTTACTATTATTAACAAACATCATCAGTGCATTCAGATAGTAAAAATTAATTTAATTTACTTATTATTATTGCTTTTTTAACATATTTATATATTTTATTATTTAAATTAATAATACTGTAATTACAAAGTAATTTTATTAATAAGTACATAATTGAATTTGTAGACAACACAACTTTTAATTTACAGTATAAACCAAAACCCTAATTCTTATTAAAAAAAAAACCAAACAAAATGATTGTATACATGTAAATAAATGTTTTAAAAGAAAAGAGATCTTGATAAAAAAAAAAAAAACAAATGTTACTATTTGGACGATAAATTAAATTTGTTCAGATATAACTGTTAATTATTGTAAGTTGATAATTTTTATCTTCTGTTTCATTATCTATGGACGGATATGATGATACATTTAGTATCAAAAATTGTCAAATACAAAATAGGCCGCATTAGATAAAATAAAATGTTATTATATTAAACTGCGTATTGAATAACATTAGTTTCAATTAAAAATTAAAGGTGTACGGATAAAATTTATATTAATATTATAAAAGATTTGATAATAAATTGGTAATTTTTTTGTTATGGGAGGGGTTTTTATCTGTAATTTAAATTTGGAACCTAAGTCGTCTATAAAACGAATGATTGTAATATATTATTTATAGTCTAATATTACGATACGACAATAATAATAATAATAATAATAATAATAATAATAATAATAATTATAATATATATATATAAATTTATATATATATACTATATTATATATAAAACTTTTAAAATGGTAACAAGAGTCTCTTAACATATCATATGACATAATATCAACGCATTCATATATATTTATTGCAAAACATCAAATTGTTAAAGTGAAAGTGTTATGATGGAAATTTAGTAATGTTTGGTTGTTAATTTATTTTGGAAAAAAAACATACGTCCGCATAAATATATACTATAAAAGATAATAAAGTATAACATAACCTACATAAAAATTAAAAAATAATAATAATAATTGAGCTGCCCGATGGTTATAATATTACACAGCCATCCTTGTTGGTTGCTATTTGCATATCCGTACCTTTAAAAGTAGGCATTCAATAATTATATAATATGTGATCTATCAGGTACACGTGTAAACATCTAGGTAAATATAGTTTGCCATTGTAATATCAAAGCCAGACACCTAAGTGTTGATGCTTTTTAAAATTTGAAGCAAATTTCCAATGAGCGTATTATTGCGGTTACAAAGTAGATAATCTATTCATTATTACAAGGACCTACTTGCGACAGAACTTGATAATTTGATGTCCTGTTTTTTGACATTGGTAATGATGATGCTGTTCCACGCTCACGACGTTTTTGCGACCTTTGATGGTTATGGGAATGGTGATGTCTGTGTTTTGTATGCATTTGATTATTATGGTAATGATGTTTATAGTGTCGCCTCCTACGTTTGTGCTGTTGGGATTTGCGATCTAGATTTGAAGAAGATATTATCGTTGTGATATCATCGCAATCGCTATCCATGTTGTTCATCAGTGTAATTGAAGTTGGCGATGTAGACTGCGAATTATTGCCATTGTTGTTGCTGCTGTTCGACGATGACAAACTTAGGACTGAACCCCAATCGATTGATGTAACTGTCGTTGTGTTACTATTACCCATTAATGGTAGCATGTTATCGTCACAATGGTGATCGCCAATACTCAACGCCGTGTTTCTTTTGTTATTGAAACTGTTATCATAAATTTGTAGTTCCGTCAAAGGTGAATTATTAGTTTCGTCATCATCGTCTTCGTCGTCATCGTCTTCGTCATAATCATCAGAATGAATATAATTATCACAATCTTCGATGCTTCCGTTCAAATGGTAATATTGGAGATGATGATTATTCAGATCTTGATGATTATTTGCCATTACTGTGGTATGGCTATGATGATCATCATCGTCTTCATCTTCGTCGTAATAGTATTCATCGTCGACACCAGAATCTATGGAATCTGTAGTGCTGCTACTACTGCTGCTGCTGCTACTGCTACTGCTATTGTGGTCAACCATCATTTCCGGTCGGCCATTTCTGTATTCCGAGGGATATGGTGTAGGAGATCGTCTGTTATTGTTGTTGTGTTGGTGTGAAACATCGATTTGTTGCTGTTGGATCAATTGCTGTGACGTATTCGACGTTGTCGATGTACAGCAACGCCGTTGTTGAGCCTGTTGCGCTGCGGCAGCAGCTTCTCGTGACATTTCACGCTCAATCAATCTTAGCGTGTTGCAAATGAGCACGGACCTCCGGAGTCCAGCTTCGCAGCTTTGTTGTGAGCTGTTATTTCCAGACCCACCACTTGATTTTCCTAATTTGCGCATTGAAGCATCAAACACTGCGGCTCTACGCCGTCTGTAACACTGCGTCGAAGGTACACAACGTCCCAGTTCACAACATTCCGGTTCACTGTTGATTCGTGGTTGTACTGTAGCCATGGTTGTTGTCAACGTTGTGCTGCTACCACCACTACCTAAGTCCAAATAACACTTACCGTTAGTGTCGCATTTGATAGTTTGCTGCTGCTGGTGATTTTGCCTCCAGTGGTTCTGATTGTGATGCTGTTGGGAGGGCGATAGTGTCGATAATGAAGAAGAATTTGTGGAATTGGTGACATTGTTGCTGTTGGACGAGGATAGTGACAGACTACCAGCGGGCAAATATTGATCGTCGTCGTCGTCATCGTCATCATCATCGTCATCGTCGTCATCGTCATCGTCAATACTGCAATCTGAATCATCAGTGACAGACGCTATAGCAGCAACAATCGATGATGTTGCATCGTCGTCGTCTAGTCGAGACGCCGTATCCAATTGATCGACAATATGATCATTTTGCAAAAGTTCCTCGTTATTATGCATACGCCTTGCTATCTTAGGAATATGATCATTTTCTAATGACGAGGATAATCGTCTTTTACATGCATTTGATTCACTGCCAGTTTCATTTGACATGTTTGTATTTATCGTTGTCATCGGAGAAACATGAATGCCCATGTTGTTCAGTAATAAGAAACTATTCTGTTGGCAAAAAAAAAAAAAAAAAAATATTAGATAATTTATATTAAATATTGCTATAAAATATAAATGTAATAATGCTAATTGTTGTAAAGTTATTATTTATATTTCAAATTTGATTTCAGCTATTGTTCCGATTTAAACGACACGACATTTTGTACCATAAATTTATTAATATTAGTATGAAATAAATCATTTATTACGAATGTAGTGTATCTACAAGTCTACAATACAGTACAAAATACCTTAAGAAATCTTATGATATCAAATATGTATTAAGTGAATACATTGCATTATAACATACATTCCATACAATAATATTTTAATCATGTAAATATTTTATGATTATACTTTACTTAAATACCCGGCCTTTATAAAAACATTTTAACTAATCAATTATTTGTAATTTCAGAAAACACAGTAAAATTAATTTCAATTATAAAAACCATTGTTGAAAAATGAATCGTAAAAATAATAATATGAGTTTAACAAATAATCTAAAAACAATAAAATTATAAGCTCTCGTAATTTTATGCGAAAATTTATTGAAATATTAGATTAAGATGTACAGATAAAAATACAAAAATGTCCTACATTTGTATCTACCTAATTAAAAATAAATAAATAAATAATTATATATTGATAATATAAAATAAAATATGTTATTTATCTAATTCAGTGTTTAAAATGTATTCGTATTAAAAGCACAGTGTGCAGTGTTTAAAAAAAAAAAAAAATGTTTAAATTTAATAAGACAATATTATAATATTATATTTATTTTATTTTTTTAGATTTCCCGTTGTACGTCGCGTTCGCAATCTACGTGTTGCTGCTGGTCGACTCGACACACAATCCAACGACGCCATCTGCCCGCCCGATTTGGTAACTACTTCGGTGTATTACTTTCTCGGAGTAGCCGTATAGATGGCGTCCGGACATTGTGTGGAAGGAAAACGTTTTCATTAAATTGTCGGTACCTACCATGCTATAACCGTCCGTTCAAATGGGTCGGGAAAACTGCGAAACCCAATTAACTAGGACACCACGGTGAACCTCGATAAAGCACTGTCGATTGAAAAAAATAAACCCCTGCTACCTTCCTTACGGTATACTCGTGTAGTACCATTGTTATTGTAATTCTACCTACGCAGGACGGTAACGTAGAGATAAAACTGAAATTATTACAATTACGGAAGCCACCCCGAGATTTCCCAGAAGTCTCGTGAATACCCGCACACTATATTTATCGAAGTATGCACAATACATACGGTAGAAGATATTATTGCTCTCTTCTCTGCGCCCGACAGACTTCCTATTTAACTTGGCGTCTAAAACACGACACGACACGATAACTCATAAGCCCGAAACGCGCACCGGCAGTTCTATGAAACGTCCGTTTCGATATTAAACATTTTTGTTGTCGGACGTCGATGGAGGTGGAGGCAGTGGCGCTTCTGTGCGTGGGACGGGTTTCGCGAAGGGATAAATACCTACACCCCTTCTCAACGTCGGTAACGGTCTCCTAACGACAATAGGTGCACGGAGAGTCTTACACACATGGCCTAAACGAATGTAATTACATAATCAAATTGTATTTTCGATCTTTATTACTATTACGGGTAATCCTATTCCCTACGCCGAAGAAACCCGACCAAAAAATAAACTTATATTGTACAACGTTTAAGTCCTAGAAGCGTAGGTACCTATATAAAATAGCTAAGCTCTTTTACCCACAATACAGTATTCTATAGCGTACGGAATAATGAAATTATAATTATTAGAAAATCGATCGTTCTCCATACGTCGATCATTGAACTATCTTCAAAAATACTTGACGTAACAATACTGCGATGATATGCGCCATGTTGGAATAGTGTTTACATCGAATTTGAGACGTATTTTTGCAACGAGTATCCTCAACTAACCCATGTCAAATATTATTATTATTATTCGTTACAATATTATATTATTATTATAATTATATAGCGTCGACGACGGTGGCGTGTCGTTAACACACTTTCTCCACATACTTCTTTCTCCCCCACCACCACGGTATCAACCTACGCGCCGCCGCGTCGTACTACGTTGCTTTCTAATATGCCGTTCTACTACCACTGTACGAATACCACCACCAAACACTAACACCACGACTCACCACCGCCACCAACGACAAGAGTACAACTGCAATTACGGCGATAACGACAACAACAACAAAAACAACAATAACAATAACGATAACTATCTATTAGGTTCTATAATAACACAATATTATGTACCACTATGTGCTCCAAAAAAAAAAAAAAACACTGGTATTAAAGTCACCACTCGTGTAATCATGGTAATAATATCAATAATGCGGTACAAGATAAAAATATATTATGGCGGACACCTCCGATGGAAGAGAGTCCCACATCATCGATCCGCCGTTAATTAATAATCACCCAGACTCGAACCGACCCATTCTGCGCACCCATTTGGTCGCCGCGCAAAATCGTTAAAACCACTGACCACCGTTGCCGTATAACAGCGACCCCACGCGATACCTACCTACGGTAGTTCGACGTAGCGATTTTCCGGTCGAATTAAAATCAATCGATTCCGATATTATCTCTTAATACGTGACACACTTTTGCTTTTTATACGCATTAAAAGAAATATCGGCAAATCGATGTCTACAAAATAAAAATAAAATATTCATATTATATAATTATTATATTACAATACACAAATACTCGTAATAACAAAACACAACAGGACAGCAACGCAATATACTAGACCCATTAAACATTATTTAAATAATATTATATCTGAACGCGGTGCAAGACGTGTACACTGTAAATCCCTTCTTTCCCCCCCCCCTACTCAAGAGACAAAAAAGCTTTAATTTGGCGAGAACAGTAGAAAGCCGATGTGCGAATAAAAGCCAAACAACATCAACGAGTTATCACCCGTAAACGATAAAACATAAAAGGAAAAAAAAGACGTCGTTATCATCACGCACATGTTTTTCCACGCGAACCGTCGTCGCTGCCGCCGACTACCCCGCGACGGTGGAGGAGGCGGTGGTGGATCAGGCGGCGGCGGCGGCGACGACGTCGACGACGGTTGGCGGGAACTTTGAATCGCGCGGGTTCGCTTTCGCGCACGAGCCTCTTTGCTTCCAAGCCACTTGTTTTTCGTCAACCCTTTTTTTTCCGTTTTTACTCACACCCACTATTCAACACGAATATAACCCACTTCCGCCACACTAACGATTGCAAACAAAATATATTATATTACTGCCAAGCGCCCACGTCTTAAAGTTACCAGATTCCAGTCAAACCATTAATAACTAATGACAATAATCGTAAAAATAATATTTTATGCTCACCGTCGAATTGTCGTCGGCGCAATAATTGTTTTCGTCGTCGTCGTCACTCCACATTTTCATGCGTACGACGCGCGTCGGCTGCGGCTGCGGCACGTAATAATAATCCTGTTGCTGGTGCTCTTCGGCTACGGCTGCGGTCACCGCGGACGGAGGCAACAAAGGCGACAACAGACCCACCGTCGTTGTCATGTCTGCTCCTTGTCACTAATGCACGGTCACTGCTGTTGCTGATGTGTCTTACAGTGGACGTCTCTGTCTCTGTCTCTGTCTCTGGTACTGTTGCTGCTGCTGCTGCTGGTGCTGCTCTACTGATCACTGTCTTCCTTACGGTCGCTGTGGCGTTGTCACGTCGGTATCGGCGTCTTCGGCGCCGGGCCAACATCATATACCGCTAACGCCTGCGATGACAGTGGTTTCCGTCCACCGGGTGTCTGCGTGAAACTCCGTCGTGACTGATGGACGGACAGACGTGTGTGTGTATCCCGAGTCAAACGTCGTTCGGCTGATGACAGTATCGACAACGATCGTGGTAAAATTCAATATTATACCGCGGTAGACGACAGTGTGTATAGTATATAATATTATAAATATATAATAATATACGGGTTGTCGGACGGGCCCCTGCCAGTCGTCGGTGACGGTTTGGAAAAAATTTAAATATTATCGCAAACGCGGTCCGTTTGGATGACGGTAGAAAAAAATTAAATTTCTTGTTGAACCTTTACCGGTGAAACGGATTTGACGCGGAAAAAAAAAAATAATCGAGATGAACAATCGTCGTGCGCTGTACGCAGGAATTGAAATTCTGGCGCGCGCAAACGGCGAGACGTGTTTGAGAGCGCTCGAACGAGCTGACGTACAGTGAAGGGCTATGGAACGCCACGGCGCGTTACTCGTGAATAACACTGCCGCCGCCGCCGCTGTTGTTGACGACGCTCCTTCGCTGTTGCTGTTACCCCCGCCACGGTTGCCGCGCTGCCAGCGTTCACCCACCGACCCGCCGCCACCCACCTCCGGCACAGTACACTTCTTCTTCCTCCGCTTACACCAATGCACAAACGCACGCACGCACGCGCTATAACTATATAGTATATAATGTATGTGTATAATATATTTTCCACTTCTCGCCCGCCCCGCACCGCCTCACCGGACGGCCGTCACCGGCGGCCCACTAGTCGCGATATCGTCGTCCGCGCGCACCGCTCCCCACCACCGCCACACTCGTACCGTTACTATACACTGCTCACCCGACTACTCCTCCTCCGCCGCCGCAGCGGAGGATCACACCGCCACCATTAGCCGTCCGCGCGCATATTTTTGTAATATCTAAACAAGCGTGGCCGACAGCGCGCTCTCGCCGCCGCCGCCACTGCAGTCGAATCCAAAGGCCGAACCAAAAACGGCGGTAGCGCGTCGCATTGAATTATATGTATATATATATATATATATATATATATTGTAATAATGTGCGTGCATGACGTGTGTGGTTTTATAGTACGACGAGGATACCATACATGTAATACTTTATCACCACGTGCAACCTACGTAGGAGCGCACGCGCAACGGCGACTCTTATCGCCGATTATTTTTATTTTTTTTTTGTTGTTGTTTTTTTTACCACTTATCTCTTGCGATTTCGTTATTGTCTATTACACTTTGTCGGTGTATGGTACGCTGTTCCACGGTATTATCCACGTTCGGCTCGAACTTTGGGTGTACCGTGTGCGTTTATCAACGACGGCAATCGTATGCACGTGCTCACGTGAAACTATGCGAGCAACGCAAAACACCTTGGACTCGTATCGCTGCAGCCTAGACTCTTGACACGACGGACACGTACCGTCTTGCAGGCGACTTATCGCCGAATCGGATTGCAATCGTCTTTCGATTGCAACGATTTCGGATTCGATTTATAATACCGCGTAGGATCTCTAGGTTTTTGGTCATTCTGTCGCGGCAAAAGCTCGCTTCTGTTGTGGCGGCGGTCGCGTCTCGACCGGTTCGGTTGAAAGTGTTCGGCCGAAGTTCAGATGGCCGTCCGACCGAAGCGTGATAGCTTTAAGATTCTCCACATGCCCATAGCGCGGATAGCGCCCAACCGAGGTCGGCCGCCGTCGTAGCACCATTCCCTTTCCCCATCCGTTCCACCGCACGTCCTCGTCGTCGCGCCCACCGCTCTTTGCTACTCACCCACCATCGCCACCTACCAATTATAATATACGCACGTATAACGTGTACACCTGGTTTTCCCGCCGCCTCACCATCGACTCGCCCGGCCTTATCGTATCGTTATTACTAAAACTACTACACCTACTACTACTACTACTACTACTACTACTACTACTACTACTTCTACTACTTCTACTACTTCTACTACTACTTCTACTACTACTACTACTACTACTACTACTACCACTACACTACCACCATTTCTATTACCACCTACCAATTCTCGGTCAAGCCTACGCCTCCACCGTACACCTCGGGAAATCTCCTCAACAGCCTTCGGTTACTTCGTCGACGACTATTTTATACATCAAAACATTTAAAACACACTCCACACATTAGATAAATAACATTACTAAATGGCCACGTTTAAACGTTTAAAATATTATAATAACACGACAATACGGCTAAAAAGCACATACTTTTTACTCATAACTTATAAATCTTAATACATTATTATACTTCAAGAAAATCACACAGTTTTTTAAAAATCACTCGAGAAGAAGACGTTATAACCCAAACGCAGAAGTTTATTTATAATTGTTTCATATTTATAAGACAAAAATAAACCCAAAGGTCGGCGCGAAAAGAAATAAAAATCTATTTACGAAATAACTCGTTATTTGCTCAATCGAAATGGTTTTCCCATAATAGCCCTAGCTAAATTTTGTATGAAGTTGACGCATAAAATTTTTGCAATTTATTGTTTCTTTAGAAATAAGAATAACCGACATAACAGAAATAAGAGTCCTATGACCGATACTTAAAATACATAATTATTATTTTTTTTTATTATTATTACATCGCTATAATGATAACAATTATAATAATAATTTTTATCTTTCGAACGTTTTATCAATTTACCATGGCCTTACATGAGCTGTCTAGCTATTACAATACAATAGCTAGCACAGAGAGTAGCGTGCACACAACAATTTTTGTCTTGACACCGATTTTTAAAACAAAACTAGAAGACATTTTTATGTAAAATTTTGTTTTGTTTACTATTTTACAGGATCAACAGCGTAGTAGGAGTATATCATGGTTTTTTTTTTTTTTGTGTCACTGATAATAAGTCAAGTTTGCCGCCGAAAGATATATATAATGTGTATTTACGTCGCCGTCGTGTACAAAATAAGGACAAGCGGATGGCGGGGATTTTTTTGTGTCGGTTTACTGTATTTTTTAATTCACATACACACATACAAATATACACACACTCTTACAAATACGCGCAAGCGCGTTAACACGTTACTAGTTGCCTGCACTGCTGGCAATGAGGCCTGCCGTTAGGTGCGCCGTGGTATAGTGACGAGATGATAATAGTAATAATAATACTATTATACCCGTCTACCGTCCGTGAAAAGCCCGCTTATTTTCAAAAAAATATCATCGTCCTCATTTTCAAACAAAAAGACCCAAACATATCCCAACAGGATTTATCGCGTTTGATAACGTGATTAAATATTCTGCGAGACCTTATTTTCCTGTATCAGGCACTGTGCACGTTGTTATCTTTCGCATGAAAACATTTGTTTTGTTTTTCTATTCAATTTTTATTTTTATTATCATTACTATTATTATTATTATTATCACGCATACTTTGTTCCCATAACATTACGCATATTTTTTTCCAGCACTATATAATATTTATATATATATATATATGTATCAATCCCAATCACGTTTATAACCGAACAACGATTATAATATTATATTAGAATATGACGTAGGTACGCGTTGCATTATCGTTGCAGTTGTATTCATGTATTACAAACATTTATATATTACATATATAATATTATAGAATATAAATGTGTACATAATAATATAATAAAGTTATGTAAAATATACGCGTGCATGCGCGTACAGACGCAGTTGTATGTATTTATTACGAAATTATTTTTTCACCGTGCGTTATTTATCGCGTAATGCGCGCCGTTCGAATTTTTACTAAAAATTCTTAAAAACGTTAAAATAAAACCAGACGAACTATTTAACTATATTATTACGAATAATAATATTTATGTATATATAAATGTATATATATTTATATATATATACATAGGTATATTTATTTTATTTAAGGACTACGTCGTCGTCATTATCATAATAATGTTCTTCTTCTCCTTATTATTACTATTATTATTATTATTATTATTATTATTATTATTATTATTATTATTAAAGCTTGTAAGCCAGCGACGACGAGAGAGGTCGGTGTCGGCAACACTGTGACGGTAGTGTTGTTGTGTGTAGAGCGGCTGTGGCGTTGCGGGACGAGCGGCGCGGGAAGGCCGCCGACCATATTATAATATAGCTGGTTGTTTTGTAAAAACGGCGTTCGCCGCCGCCATCGTCGTCGCCGTAGTCGTATACAGTCGTAGCATTCGTTGCCGCCGCCACCGATTGCGAAGCGGCGTCCGCTGAAGCGATGTACAAAGCCGCGGTGGGCCGGCGGGCGGGAGAACAGCGGCGGCGGCCGACCGACTGGCGGCGGCGGCGTACGACCAAAACGAGTCCTCGGCATTATACCATACCATTACCACCGTCGCTGCGTATTAGTCGTCGGTGCTGCCGCCGCCGCTGCCTTCGTCAGCAGTGCGCGCGCACACACATACACACTGCACGGCGTATACGCGCGAGCCCGACACGGAATGTCCGTAATAATAACGCGCATATTATGCACGTAAACTCGTGAGCGTGGCGGTCGCTGCGGCATTGGTGCTG